AAAATGTGGATGGCAGGAGGCTCTTGGAATCTTGTTGCGACAAAGAGTTCATTCCGAACAGGTTAGAACGTGCGACTTCATGGGAACAGATTTAGCGAAATGTGTCCATGAGACGAAGTTCAGAGTCAAGGAAGCAAAAAGAAAATATTTAAATAAGCAATAACGAAGAGATGGAGTCGGGCGGGAAAAAAAACTAGTAGAATCAAGGTATTAAAAGGGCTAAATAAGAAATGAAAAACAGTCACTGCAGCTTAGGAGTAATTTATGAGTCTGACGAGATGGCATAGACACGTCAGCGGACTAACCAATCGACGAAATTCCCAGTGCACCGAACCATACCAAACAATGCCTAAAAAAAAAAACACAAGTGAAATAATGGAGTACAAAATGAAAAAGAATAAAAGCTTCAGTCAAAAAAGGCCCTACGACGCTTCGATCTTAGCTTAGACCGAGAAGCGATAACGACCCAATTTCTTTTCTTTTTTTCCGCCCTGCGATCTCCACGTGGTGGAATCGCCCCTGCTAAGAGTTGGGTGAGAGGGCAAGATAACGAGCATTATTTGAAGCAAAAAATATGGCTGTAAGTGCCTTGCTTATTTTGCTGGGCCTAAATTATGATGCTATGGATCCAGTCAGGGTATCAAATGTAGCTTGGGCTGTCCCTGCCAAGGCAGGTGCCGGAAAATGGTGAGAAGAATTTAAAAATCCTTTTTGGGTGGCCAATTCCATGTAATTTTGACATTTAGACCCAGCTTGGTCCGCCCGTAAGCGCTTCAAGCTGGGCGCCCCGTGGCTAATTTACTGTTAAGGTTACTTTGTTAACGGGGCTGGGTGGTAGTGAGGTAGAGGTTGTAGTACCTGTAGAGAGAATATAATTAGACAATAATTTAGATAAGAGACAGTGTTAAGAATATTTTCGAATCAGAGTTTGATGTCATGCGTTGTTCTGGGAAGAATGTCGGGGATAACGGACCGATTCCGGCGCGGAACCCCTTATTTTCATATTAAGAGAGTCATAAGACTGTTTATGCTATGTGGGGGTAAATCACTTAAACAAGAACTTCAATTCTCTAGTCGGACAATCGATGATCCTGATGTTGACTAAGATTCCAAACGAGTAGTTATGCTAAATATAGGGAAAACACGGGCTTTCTTTAGATGTGTTCGGTTGCTATTTATGTTATTCTGGTTAGGATAGTCTGGCTATGTCTGGCAGTATGTGAGAGGCATTATAGTATTCGCGCCCCAACATGGAGGCATAAATAGGGAGGGGAGGAAAATCAACAAATTCATAGACGTATTCATTTTTGTGTCCATCTACGGAGGCGGAAAGCATACTTAATTAGGGAACGTTCTTATCTGGAAAGTTGATCTAGTTGGGGATCCGTACAATGGGCCCAGGCTGCAAACGCATATGTAATTACGGGTCTTAGGTAGGCTTTGTACAGCTTCAGGATGACTTCCGAGTTACATTTATTTGTACCGGCTAGGAATTTCAGGCAATTAAGCTTATTGTAAGCTTTCATTTTGATGACGTTGATATGGGGGATCAAAGAGTGACAGTCGTTAATTGTGATTCCCAAGAATTTTACGTTGTTGTCTCTCGGCATAAGCTTATTATGCATCGTAAGGACAAGATTGAAGTAGCACTTTTGCCTCCCAAAGAGGAGTGCTGTCGATTTAGCGGGATTCATCTCAATACGCCAGTTGTTACAGTACCTTTCTAGTCAGTTGAGAGCAGTCTGTATTACTTTTTCGGCCCTACTGGGGCTGCGATGATGATACCAGATGGCCGTGTCATCCGCGAACTGGGAAGCCTGAATTTTTGTCGGAAGAGAGTCAGGTAGGTCGTGCACATAGAGTATGAAGAGAAGAGGAGAGAGAACGGAACCCTGAGGAACACCAGCAGTTAAAGGGAGTTTGTCCGACAGGGCTCCGTCGTAGCGGACTGCAAGCGTACGATCCGAAAGGAAGGATTGGATCCATAGAGTGAGAGGTTTGGGAAGTTCGAAATGATGATGGAGTTTAAAGAGGAGTTCCGCATGCCATACTTTATCGAAGGCTTTTTCTACGTCGAAAAAGACTGCTACAAGATGCTGACCTGCTGCAGATTTAATGATGTCATTAAATCTGCAGGAGGTTTAGGAATCATGGGTTTAGGGAATGGGAATCCCAGGTTTAGGAATCATGGTCACGTTAGCAGACTTCAAACTTTAGGTATGTGACCATGCATCAGGCTGTAATTGAATAAATCAGCAAGCCTCTCGTAGAATTTCAGAGGGGCCTTTTTAAGGGGAAGAGCAAATACGTCATCCTCCCCTGGCACTTTATTGGGGGTTGCTTTAACTGTTTCAGTTATTTCCTCTGTAGTAATGATATCTAGGAGATGCTTATAGTGTACGTTATTGGCATGAGGGGAGATAGGGTCCTTGACCACTGCTAGATCGAACTTAACCTAATTACTATGAAGAGTGAGCTGCTCTAGCGTGGAACTTGATCTTAGCCGGGGGGAAGGTACCTGCATTGTTTTATGTTGGGATGTAGCAAGAGTTTCTGCTCAGCCCAAAGGAGTCGTAAAGGTCTCATTGCCTACTTTGAGTGGCTTAATTACATTGCCTGTACTTTTTGGGAGCTACTCTCTTAAGTAAGGTCCAGAATTCCTTTGGATTGGCCTCATCATTAAGCTTCTCACATAGATCGTTCCTGTAAGATTCCCTATCCTGGGAAATGCGCTCCTTAATTTCCCTGTTGAATTGGTTGATTGATTGGAAAAACGTCTGGATGTGGAACGGCCGGACCTAGGACAGAAGCGACCCGTTTCTCTTCCTTTTTTCTGCACTCCCTTTCCGCGTCTCCCGCGAGGAGAGAACGGGAAGAAAGAAAAATAAAAACATCCGGAAACACAACTAAACTAGAATATGCACCACGCGCGCTCGACCTGGATTCAACGCGTCCGGCGTGGATCCGGCCGTTCGCACCTCTTCCCTGGCTCGTTAAAATCAAAGCACTCATCTGCCAATTTAATTGGACTGGTCTTCTCATTGAACCAGAATCGGACAATTTGAAACATTGAAACAAAAGCAGAGAAAAGCGTGGCTGGCGCATTCCTGCCTCAGTCCTAACCCTTATCCCCAAATGGTGAGTCTTGAAATTGGACTGGTCTTCTCATTGAACCAGAATCGGACAATTTTGAAACATTGAAACAAAAGCAGAGAAAAGCGTGGCTGGCGCATTCCTGCCTCAGTCCTAACCCTTATCCCCAAATGGTGAGTCTTGAAAAGATTATACTCTTCTTGTCTCCACTTTCCCCTTGCATTTTCCTATATCACGTTGACATGAATGCACAGATGTCCCTTCGCGGGTCGGGATCGATTGGCAAGATGGTACCTTACGTAGAGGAAGATGGTCAAGCGCAGCAGCTTATCTGTTTTCCATTGGAATCGTTTCTAGGAGCCATTGGCCAAACAAAGATAGACTTTTTCAGCCTGGATGTAGAGGGATTGGATTATCCTATTCTGACTACCATTCCTTTTGACGTTATCGATATTCAGGTATGTCACTTCAATAAGAGCGAACTCGTATCCTGATAGTACTTGGAATTGATTTTGACCTTTTTGTCAATCTTTTGAAGATCCAGTTTGCCTCTGTAGCCAACAGCAGCGATAATCATGAATCCAGGGAGAAACTTTCTGCCCACACTCGGTAAAGAGCTTCAACGGCCTCTGCAGATTTCTGTTGATATCAGATGAGGAGTAATTATAGGGAGTTTTTTACCTTCAAAATTTAAGTCTGGACCTCCAGCAAGTATTTTTAAATAGTATAGGGGCACTCTGGATTCGATCTGAAATTCTCATCTGGTCTTTAGTTTTATTTTCTTCAGCTTTCGCCAAAATTATAAAGTACCATGATGGCTGTCGTAACTTCTTCATTTTGCTAATTCTTTTTCCTCATTCATCCTTTAAGGTATCGCGAAACGATGAGTGCCATCCAAATGCGTACAAATAAGGCCTGCCTAATTGTGCCATCGACATTTATGTGTCATCAGGGAGCAAAGAGTTCCACGAGGTGCATTGACATAAATGCAGAGGAGCTAGCACGTGTAAAGGGATTTATTACTACTAAACGAATGACAACGAAATACGAGCGGCATTGAAAAACCAAGTTCGAACGGATCGGGTTCCTTTACCCCAACCCCGACATCCACCCAACCCACCCAATTGATCCATCGAGACTCGAATCTCGTTCAAGATTTACTGATTTCTTTGAAGAGGTATTTGCAGTCTATTTCGCGATTCTCACCAAGCAACTAGGAAATTCGATCCAGGAAGGAGACATCATGTGATTGGAATCCCCGTTTTGTGGCTTCGTCAGATCCGAATGATACATAGTTTTCCCGCATTTTCATGCAAGTCCTAGGCACAGGAGGGTGACACACTTCCTGAAAATACAACAGGTTTTGCATTCATGGCCATTCTGGAAAAGGTATTTTATCTGCTTTTGTGTTCACCTTTATTTCTGGGTCTATCAACATAATGAATCCCAACTGATGCACACATCACGTAAATGTATATCGTTCTTCATTACTCAGTTTACGCTGCTTGGACTAAGTAGTAATATGCTCAAACGCAGGGGCGGTGGTCTTCACTCTGCCAGGCACGATGGAAGACGTAAATGAGAGACTTCTTTATGATGTTGGCGGTTTGGGATCCCTTTATCTCAAAACTGATGTATGTGTACGTGCGTGATTTACGTGTTAGGCTCTCCGCACAGTGGTGAAACATGTATCAAACCTGTACGGTACGTGTTGCTAACAATTAGCCGCACATTGGAGGAACTTGCATCAAACCCATTTAAACCAAAAGTTAAACAACTTGAGTGCAAAATTCGTGCTAGTCGATAACTTGACATTGGATATAGAAATTTTTAAACTTAGGACTAGGAAATGGAAATTTATATGCCAACACCGTCACTGGATGCACCCCAATATATACATGATGTCATGCATACGGTTCCTTCCGCCGGTTGTTCCAAAAATTACGAAAGACAGTGCGTGGCAATCTGTGTTGCACTGTGCCAATAGTTCCTGAGATCACATGGTGAACTCGATTGTCAATATGCATGCTAGAGTAGGCGTTCGTCCAACAAATCTCCTGGAAAATAAAAAAACTGTAACCTACAAATCAAGAATTCTCATCTGGTACATCATCCCCTTGCTCATAGGAAGCTATGCCAAATCCACATCGTCCCTATTAGTTGGATCGTGAATAATTCGGAATTTCTAGATGAACAGAAATAATTCTATATGTTTCTGGACTTCTCGCTTCTTCATGATGACGTTGGACAGATCTTTCTTCGACAAACTTGCAAGCTCAACTGATGAGGAAGGGTATACAGGAAAATAATGGACCAACGACTATCAATCTAAATATCTAATGTGATACAGTTGTAATGGGTAAGATGAGGCAAACAAATTTTTGAATGACGTCTCAGTCTTCGCCAAATGAGTTCTGCCTGAGGGTATGGGTGAGGGGGGATAATATTATCAAAGGATACCCAAGGTGCAAGACGGCCAAAGTCCTCTGACTGTCACTTATTTTTCTTCTATAAAACGCTTTTTCACCGCAGGGTTCAACATATACAGAAATGCTGCACCAGCAGCACCACCACCATCACCTGCTACTCCACCAACTGTTCACCAACAAATATATTAACAACGAAGGGGAACTTTGAAATGATGACCCAATAAATCGACACCGCCACTTTCGAGAACCGCCATGCAGCACCTTGAACGAAAATTTGCGCATCGACTTTATGAATAATTCGCAGTTAACACCACGGTTGGATGTTGGCTATTGTTGACAGATGCACAGGGATCTCTTACATGGAATTCATGATTTCTCGAAAACGTCGTCGTAACTGATCTTTCCCACATGCCGATACTTCTTGTCTTTCATAAACTTCAGGATCTCATTCCTCTTTCCTTTATTGGTTTCCACCATCAGAACCTTTTGTCGGGAGAGTGGGGGGAAGAGCAAGTAATACCTTGAACAGGATGAAAACTGTGGAAGGAGTTTGTCATATAGGCGGGTGAGAATTATATTGTCCAGATTTCAGAATTTGCTGGCTACGGAACATTCATGTCATTTAGCATTTAGCATCATCAATTATTAAGGGCTCTGCGCACTTATTATATCATTTGTTTTACTGTGGCAAACATCGATGGTGTTCATGAATTCCCAACTTTTAGTTTTGGACGTAGAACAATATGATCCTTACCTCAGGATACGAGTTCGCTCTTATTGAAGTGACATACCTGAATATCGATAACGTCAAAAGGAATGGTAGTCAGAATAGGATAATCCAATCCCTCTACATCCAGGCTGAAAAAGTCTATCTTTGTTTGGCCAATGGCTCCTAGAAACGATTCCAATGGAAAACAGATAAGCTGCTGCGCTTGACCATCTTCCTCTACGTAAGGTACCATCTTGCCAATCGATCCCGACCCGCGAAGGGACATCTGTGCATTCATGTCAACGTGATATAGGAAAATGCAAGGGGAAAGTGGAGACAAGAAGAGTATAATCTTTTCAAGACTCACCATTTGGGGATAAGGGTTAGGACTGAGGCAGGAATGCGCCAGCCACGCTTTTCTCTGCTTTCGTTTCAATGTTTCAAAATTGTCCGATTCTGGTTCAATGAGAAGACCAGTCCAATCTTTCTCCTTTTCGAGCCAGAGAGTATCAGAAAAACGCTCCCCACCATAGGCTCCTGCTTCGATGAAGAATCCTCCGATCTGAAAATAAATAGGGCGAGTAAAAAAAACGCCATACCGTTTTCTATGGAAGAAAATAAGATTCATGTATTCGAGAAAGAATGATTAGATTCATAACTCTTGATACTGTACCTATACAAATGGCTGAGATGATTGCCTGTTTCAGAACAATTTTCTTAGTCATGCATAGTCCCGTCACAATGTTTACTGGTGGATAATTGCACCTCAAGTGAAGTTATGGCCAATGTTCCATCATCTCAAAATTCAATTACAGGGTGGGCCATAAATAATTCATACCACTTGTAACTTTTCTATTTCTGTAAGCCTTAAAATACCAAGTGAAAAATTGTTTGCACCTCAATGTGTCTCTTTGCTGGTGAACCTTGGCTATTTTAACATTAATCATTCTGCGTTTATCAATGGCTTGAGGTTCAAAATATTGTCTATCATGAGCCCGAATAAAATAAAAGAATACGAATGCCTCCTATACAACTCTGACCATAACCATAACCCGTCAAAGTTCGTGCCGAAAAAGGAGTGAAACCATGTCCGTCCGGTGCGATCGACTGACAGACTCAAAGATTCCAGGTTGCCGTGAAGAAGAACGGGGACACATCCAACATATTTTGTGAACAGTTACTCTGTGCCCTTGAGTGTTGAGATTCAACTGATTCCATGAGAAGTTTTTAGTACAGGAATTACAAGGCTATGATTTGGCGTGAATATTTATGGCCCATCCTGTAGTGTAGTTTGCTCCAGTTGTGGCCCCAAACCGACTTTGACCAAATTCATATTTTGAAAGTAGCTTCAGGACTAAATTTTTCGAAAAGGGTCTCAAATGCAACTGATAATTAGCAGAGTGGCTCATGTGCCTGTATTTTTTTCCCTACCGAAAATGTGGCCTAGCATGAATATAGGGGGTCCTCCTGTCGACCACAGCGGCCTCTATCGGCATCTAACATCGGCATGCAGCGCCACCTTGCGGTATGTGAAATACCTATAAGTCTCGTGAACCTCTCTGTCAAGTATCAACTATATCCAATTATCCCGCAAAAAGTTAAGACCTATCAAAATTGGGTTGTGACATTATAATAACCATGTACCCAGGAAGTTAGCATCTGGGGGGATGGGGGCCATGTTGCACCTCATGACCAAATTAAACTTCACTTCTCTCGGCCTTCGCTTGAAGTGCATATATATATTTATTTTGTATGTTGGCTATTCTCAAAATAATCCGACCGTGTGCTAAATGTCATTGAACTCTCAGATGGTCGAGCACAGATGTGGAGACATGACAGTCGAGCACACATTCCACCTCACTTCAGGCGGCAAGATCCACATTTAAGCAGTGTAAATGGGCATACCATAGCTCCTGAAAGAAACTGGCATGTACCACAACACTTCGTACCGTCCAATGTCGATTACATAGCCAATGTGTAATATTATATTTTTGCATTTATGAAGCTGTGTTTCTCCCACAGAAAACGGAAGAGCGCTTTTTTAAAATAATCCTATATTCAAGGCTCATGTGGGGTGAAATACTGCATCCTTTGGTCTCTATGATAAAGGAACTTACAAAATTTTCAAATGATTTCATGATGTAACGAGTTTGACCGCCTGTCTGGGAGTAGTGATGCTTTTCGGGATCTTCAAGGTCATAAGGGACATTCCTGGATAAAGGTGGAATAAGAACATGGTCCCTGATGTATTGCAGAAGCCGGGTATCATTCCCCAAAATTATTTCTTTATTCTCCACGATTCTCGCAAGCAGCTCCCCTTCGTCCCATTTCTCCGTCTGAACCTCTAACAACAACGAAAGGATTTCTTTTTGCATATTAGAGAATCTAAACATATTTCTAACTTCAATTTGACTTTAGCCCATTGTTAGCCTTCCAAAGAGAGACGAGTTCCTCGATAATGTAACAAGAGGAATGGGAGTAGAGCAACCCACGATAGAGGCGTGGCCTCTACCTACATTGGCTGTGGAACCCGAGTCCGATTTCTCACCTGCTAATGAGGAAATCCAGTCCCGGAAGAAGAAATACCGTGTTTTGAAGAATCCATTCACGCTTTCCACTTGATCGTTATCGAGCTGGTACGAGATGAGGAAGAAACCGAGGATCGTTCCCAGGCACAGTAGTAGGACGCAATTAATTAAAACGTTGGAGAAACGTCCCATTACTAGGCATGGGGAGAAATGAACCACACAGGTGCTATCTCTTCACTGTCATCTATAAATGTCCCAAAAATACAACGTGAAGATGCCCGACGAACTAAACGCTTCCAATCGCCAAATGAACTCATTCGCTGGACAGGTGGGAGAGAATGAATTGACTGTAGGAGATACTCTTATATAACGAGGATGAAATCACTGTAAAAAATTATGCGTATGTCCGACATAACGAAATAAAAGGGCAGCATGGGAGAGTCATGTGTGTCAAGTCAGTGAGTCGGATAAGAAGTCGAATTAAAGGATATTGGGGAGTAGCCCTGGAGATGACGCGGGATATTCAGTGAACTCGAAGTAATAATTGGAGATTGTGGACTGTCTGTCATCCCACCGCCACTCCTCCCCTCTGGTTCATATTCAGGTATTGTTCACCAAATATCTGCTACCTAGAAACCATTTAAAGATACATAATTAAGGGTACTTGGGAAGGTTCTATTGACTGCCCTAATGTCCGAAATTTAGGGCGATAAAAAATATAGATAGCTCAAATTATGCGTATCCTGAACGTTCACCAAGAACGTGAATTGAATACTCCCAAACAACATCAAAGGGTTGCATTCATCCCAAGTGAAGTTCTACATCCTTGACGTGGGTCATAGGCAATCATGAAACAAGTTGTTCTGGTTTGATGTATAAATAATATTTCTCATGTGGGAATGATGGTATGGCAATTCTTACGTGTGAGTGAGAGTCCTCTCTCAGACGCAGAACTTTCTCCGATATACTGTACAGTATATACCTAGTCCTGCCATAAATACTGTTACAAGGTTTTGTTGTAATAACTGTTAATATAAAACATACGCTGTATTCGCTAGCATCAATTTTTTCCCTACATATTAATAGTTACTACCAGACTATAGAAACATTATTCCAAATGTCCACCCCTGGCCTTCACACATGACTTTAAACGATCAGGCCATTCATCGATCGCAGTACGCACAACGTCCATTGAGATTGAGATGTCTTCTATGGCAGGCCATCAGCTAAAACTCTGCCAACAGTTTGTATTAATAGTTCAGTGAGTTCAAGTCGGGGCTCCCAGATGGCGAACCTGAGGCCTTGATGAACTCTGGGACATTGTTGGTTAGCCGCTCCTGCGTTGTCTTAGCTTCGTGAATTGGTGCAGAGTCTTGCTGGAAGATCCAGTTGCCCCCATTGAACATTGGCTGAGAGGCTTCACTGTCTTCTCTAAGACGTCTTCCTGGTACACCTTGGCCGATGTCTTCACTACTTGCTCGCAAAAATGAATCTTTGAGACACCCTCATAGCTCTCTCCCCACCAAACCATGACGGAAGCAGGATGGTGAACTCTCTCCACCTTATGGATGACTTCTGCAGCTTCCCGAGAGTTGTGGGCATACACTTGGTCATTTTGCCAGTTGAAATTTTCTTCAATTGTGAAGATTTTCTCATCAGTAAAAAGGATATTGCGGTGTCTGTTTTGCGCGTACGAACACCTTCGATAGCGACTTCCTTATTTCTGTCAGCATGTGTCGTGAGAAGGAGTCAGCATGTGTCCTGTACTTCTTCGATAAGCACCCATCCTTAGGTCTGATTTAATCAACCGAGATATACTTCTAGTTGGCCATTTCCCTGGCCATCACTTTCTGCTTGCGGAGAGGATTTCGCCGAATCCTGTTGCTAACTGCTTTGATGACTCGTGGAGTTCTGGCAGTGCGTGGACGTCCAGATCTAGGGCGGTCTCGTACTCCCTGAGTATCATTGTAACGTTAAATAGCTCGGTAAACAAACTGCCGACTGATTACAAGTGGCTGCAAAGCCTTAGAAATTGTTGCAGGTTTGTGACACACTTTGTGCAGGGCAATCACTGCCATGCGATTCTCTTTGTCACCGCACTCCATGTTTACTGCTTGAAACACAGCAGCCAAAATTTTACTTACCAATACGGTGGATAATACACTGCAGGATTAATAGGTTACAATATTCTAGCTTATTTTGCTAGAATGCAATAAACATATGCATCTTGTAACAGTATGGCAGAACTATGTAGATTGAATAGAAGAAGACTGCGATGTTCCTCCCAGCCAAAGCCACCCCACGGCAACAGGCAGGAAATGTCCGGCCTCTAACCCAGGAGAAGAGGGCAGAAAACCATTGAATCCTGGAAACATACTATGCTAAAATAGCTTGCAGAGTTGGGGCAAATCTTAAGAAAGTTAAAATGGATCACGGATAGCGAAGGATCCCATCCTAGTAATTTGTCAGGCAGCCTGCGTCGTCAGGGGGTTGAGGCCGCAAGTCTGTCCAAACAAATTCTTTTATCGTATATATCTGTGATGAAACAATCTGTCCCATTCTGCACAGAAATATTCAAATCCAGATAATGGGCATATTTGTATGGGGGGGGGGGGGAAACAGTTTCTTCTAATTCCAGACAGTCAGGATATATTTGATGAAGGTCCTTTGTATTGCAGAGTTATTAATAGCAATAAGATCATCAATACATCCGAAAGTATTTAAATATGCTTCTGGATCAGGGGTTTCATTCATAAGTTTCGATTCATAGTAAAATAAAAATAAATTTGCCATATTAGTAGAGTAATTGCTGCCCATTGGAATACCAATTTTTTGCCTGAAAATCTGATCACCAATTTTGATGTAATTATTGTCCAAGCAATTCCTCAAAATGATATAAATATACTTTCATTAGTGAAGAGTTATTCTCTATGTGAAACCCGACCCTGCATAGTCCTGGAAAAGCTCAAGAATGTTACGATGCAGAATATCTAACGGTATTTTAGTGTATAAAGTTGAAAAGTCCCATGACATACAGAATTGGCTTTCCTGGATTCATTCAGTGCCTTGATGGCTTGTAGCACCTTACTGTTGTTGTTCTTTCCCTCTGCCATACAGGGACAGGTGCGGCAACGAACATGAAGGCCAAGTGTATAAGTACTGACCGAAATGCTGCAATCGACCAATAAAACCTAGTAATTAACCGGGAAAAGCATGTGAAGAAGGAGAGTGAGAGAGGACTTCAATCGCAACTGCTCCTCCATCAAATGTAACAATGTTCGTTTGCGCACCTGTCCCTCTTGCCCCTTCCTCTTTCGTTGTAGGTCTGCGTTTTCCAGGCTAACCTCCCCTTTTGCTTTTTATGGCATAGGCCTGAGTCATTCCAAGCCATGCTGGGTTGCTTCCTCTAGGGGCCAGTCTTGTCGTGAATTTCGGTCGCAAGGCTGGTCGAGCCAATTGA